TATTCATATATTCATATTAATAGATGCATATTCATACACACATGAACCATAATGCATCTATGATTGCACAATGAATAAGGAAAATGGAAAAGAAATGGATGCCTTTGAATTCTGGTGTTGGTGAAGAATATTGACTTGCCAACAGAACAAATCTGGCTTAAAACAAGAAGCAGGCAGAATGCCCCTTAGCAAGGACAGCCGGACTTCATCTCACATCCTGTTGGTGTATTATCAGGACAGGTCAGGCCCTGAAGAGAGACAGCATACTTGGGAAAGCAGAGGGTCAACAAGAAAAAAGCTGGCCCGTGATGAGATGGATCGAGACAGGAGTTCAACAGTGCACGGGGCACAACAGAGACGGGGCAGCGTGGTGTGGTACACAGGCTCTCTGTGGGTCACAATTAACATGACAGCACCCTGTAACGACGTTCGGGTGTTAGAACTTCTTCACAATTAAAAAAATAGATGATAGATAGATAGATAGATAGATAGATAGATAGATAGATAGATAGATAGATATAGAGTCCTTGTTGCTGTTAGATGCTGTTAAGTTGGTTCTTAGTCACAGTGACCCTATGCACAGGACAGAAGGAAGCAAGAGGGGACCCTAACAAACACACGGAAATGCTGTCCAGTCCCGAGTCGTCCTCACAATTGTTGCCATATTTGCATCAGTCCATCTCATTGCGAACCTTCCTTCTTCCCGTTGGCCCTTCAATCTACCGAGCATTGTGTCCTGCTGAGGGCATGGTCCTTTCTGATGACACGTACACCATCTGTGAGACGGAGTCTCATTCCCAACATTACCTTCAAGGAGCATCCTGGCTGTGTTTCTTCTAAGACAAATGTACAGCTTTGGGCAGTTCACTGTGTATTAAACACTCTTCACCCTCCCCATAATTCAGAGGGCTCACTTCTTCAGTCATCCGTGTGCACTGTCTCACTTTCACATGCATATGAGGTGACGGGAAATATCGTGGTTTGGGTCAAAGTCCTCAAAGTGCACGCTTTACTCTTTGACACTTTAAAGAGGTCCTTTCTGCACCCTGTTTTGGTGGCGTAGGCCGTTGTGCTGCTAACTCAAAGGCCTCGGCTCCCCGGGAGTTCAAATCCACCAGCAGCTCCGTGGGAGACAGACAGGCAATCTCTTCCCATTAGTTTGTTGTTACTGTTCTGTGTCGTTGAGTCTCCTGTGACTCGTAGTGACCCTGTGCACTACAGCTCTCAAGCCTGCCCTGTCCTGAGCCTGCCTCACTGTCTCCGACACGTCTACCCCAGTTACTGGGTCAATCCACCTTCCCAGGGTCTTCCAAGACCCTATCCAGGGTCTTCCTCTTCTGTGTTGTCCCTCCACCCTTCCAAGCATGATGTCCTTCTCCAAGAACTGGTCCCTCCTGGCCACATGTCTAAATTTACAACCTCACAAACCCAACAGAAGGTCAACTATGAGTCACTTCTGACTTGACAACAATAAGTGAGTGACTGAGTTCCACGCCCAAGAGGGTGCAAATGGTTAAACGCTCAACTACTATTAACCAAAAGGTTGATGCCTCAAATCCACCCAGATGTACCTGGATAATCTGCTTCCAAAATGTCACAGCCATTAAAACTATGGATGAGATTTCTCTTGTGCACACAGAGGGTCGTCAGTGAATCAAAGGCAGCTTCACAGTCTGTCATCCACCCCACATTCCCTAGAGGCCTGTGTTGCTTCCCCCTGCACCCCTCCCACACATGTACTGAGCCAGTTCATGGGGTGTTTGATTCCCCTCTCCCTCCTCTAGCCACCCCCACCCCCAACTCGGTCCCACTCTTCTTTGACCAGGAGGGCTTGAGGAGTCTGCCTCAATTGCTTGTCTGACCATCTATCCCAGCAAGGCCTGCTGATTGGAAGAGCCCAGGACCCAGCTGCCTTCCTGGGCCAGGTGGAGAGCTGGCTTGTGGGCTCATGACTGGGGAGGAGGGTGGCAGTGAAATAGTAGAGTGGACAGACGGCCGCTGGCACTGGAACTGGGCAGTCCCATGTACCAGCCGCAGGCCAGGAGGATCAGGCTTCTGAACAATTGCAGTAAGTGGCCAGAAGGGAGGAGGGCGCGGCTGAAGGAGACCAGGAGCTGCAGGGCGAGGCAGGATCGTGGCAGCTGTCTCATCAGGAGGCAAGAGGCATGTGCATGGGCATTGGAACCTGTTCCACCATTTCCTGGCATTTCCCGGAGTAGAATGGGAGCGGGGACAGCCCAGATCCAACAGAAGAGGTATGGCAGGCCCCCCAAGAAGCTGCTCCATTCTAAGCCATGGCACCTTCTTTGAAAAGCCAGTGTCCTACTTACCCTTCCACAATGTTCTCTTCTCTGATTAGGAGGGATTGGGGGACACACCTCATCCTCACTTGCTTCTAGAAGCAGATACCCTTCCAGAGCCTGTGACCCATGTGGCCCTTCACCCAGAGCCCAGGAGTCTGTTGTTGCCTGAGACACTCACATGGATGTGTTCTTGGAGGCTGTGCTGTTTCCCCAACTGCTGGAGAGTGGGATCGTATGGAGTCCATACACTGAGCTCTGGACAGCAAGGATAAACAGCACCAGGACAGCCGGGACCCCTGAGAAGTGGGACAGAGGTTCAGGAGAGCCAGGGGCAGGGGCTGACCCTGGGGTCCCCAGGACTACAGAGGCAGAATTCCACCGGGTAAGGGTAGAGGAGAGTGTTCTGAGCTCCAGGCCCCTGCACGGGGCCCAGCTTCAGAGCAATCTTCCTGGCAGTCTTAGATGATGTCAGTGGGGCCCTAAGACAGAAAGAGAGTGGTGGTGATTGTGGACACACAAGGCAGATGAGGGCAGAAATCTAATGGGAAAGAAGGTTGGAGAACTGGCGAGGAATAGGAACAATCAAGGCAGAAAATAGGAAGGTGATGGTGGTGCCAGTGATTGTGGGGATAGAAATGGTGGTGAGGATGAGGGCAATATGATAGAAGGGGATGCCGTGAACGTGGCGGTACAAATGATCATTCAGTGAGGCTTTTTCTAGCAATTGGCTTTACCACTCACACCATATGGCTGGGTCTGATGATGGAAATAAGGTATGTAGAACACTCACAAGCGGATTGGGAAATTTTGCCATTCCACCAGGCTTAAATGAAACAGATTCAGGGACATAAATCAGGCATCTCGCTGCCATCAAGAAAGAAGAACCAAAATTCAAAAGACAAAATAAAATAATTTGTACTTGATTTGCATAGTTAGATACAATTATTATTACTAAATAGTATTTTAACAGAGATAAGAGTCGGCCTGGAGCTCCGCAATAAACCTCTTATCTCTTGCTGTTGCATCTAAATAAATAAATAGATAGATAGATAGTATTTTAAATAACTTTAAAGTTATAAGAATACCTAAACAATGATTAAATGGCTTGATTATCACTAAAAAAAAAATAACACCAGGGAGGAGCATGTTCTTTGGAGCAATTCACCGCACTTGATCACAAGGAAAGCTTTTGTTAAAGGATAAAGTTCAATAGGTCAGAACGGACAAGAAAGAAGGAGAAAGAGATGTAAAAAACAAAGGCTGGGGAAACAGAAAAGTTGTTAACTTGCGGGAATGTAATCAATGCCACAAAACTAAAGGTTTATGAACTGTTTTATGGAAATCCAGCTTGCTCTACCAATGTTCACTCATATCACAATAAAAAGTTTGAAAAATTAAAAAAAAGAAAGAAGAACCAGAGCGGGGGGGATTGTGTACCAACGAAGGAGTTTTTCTTTTGCTTTTCAAGGAGAGGAGCGAACTGGAGGTGGAGGTGGGGGTGAGGAGAAAAGTGCAACAATGAATTAATGAAATTCCAAAATCTCTGTAGATGTTCATTGAAATTAATAATAATAATTAAAAAATGTGTAACAAAAAGAAAGAAGAACCAGCAAGGGTAGCAGCATCTGCTTTGAACCTGACGTCTCTGCATGAACAAGTGACGGAGCTCTGTAGCATCGGAGGGACTGAATGAGACTAAGACAGTGGCAGCAGAGATGGCAGTCCAGAGGGTGGCAGGAGTCGTAGAAACGGTGGCGGCAGCAATGGTGGTGGGGAACCGGAGGTCAGCAGGAGACTGGGCTGAGCTAGAGCTTAAGACCTACACGGCTGGAGCTGAGAGCCTCAGGTCTAGGTTCACAGGCAAAGCGGAGGGAGCTGCAGAATTGTCAGAGCTGAAAGAGCTTTTCAACACTGCAGAGCACACCGGAGGTCAAAGGTAACAGGCTGAGGGTCAGAGAAAGGCTGCAATCCTGACTAAGAAGAGGTTGCCCTGACTGAAAGGGTGCATCCTGACTGTTTCCAACCTGGATTGTAAATTGTTACGTCCCTAATAATCCCCATAACTGTAAATTGTCACTTCCCTAATTGTTACTTCCCTAATAATCCCCTTAACTGTAAGTAAGCATGAGTATCCTCTGTGAGTTCTGTGTGGCCATTGCAACAAGTTTAGCAAATCCAGTGGCACCCGCTTCCCAAACAACATGCCTCTGGAAACTCTATGAATTTTGAAAAATGTTGGTATTTGTAGAGGGGCTTCAGGCCTTTTGTTCATAGGGTCCCTATGAGCGCACGACTCGAAGGCAGTCAGGAACAACAGTGTGTGTGTTTGTGTGTGTACTTATATGCTTTTATAATAAATTTGCTAATTTGTTACAATGGCCACACAGAACTCACAGACAATGCTTATGCTTACAGTTATGGGGACTATTAGGGAAGTAACAATATAAGTTTTGGTAAATATTGATAGTTGTAGAGGAGCTTCAGGCCTTTTTGTTGAGAGGGTCTCTATGAGTCGTGCTCGACTTGAAGGCAATCAACAACAGTATAAAATATACTGCATTGAAACAGATGAGGGAGAGGACTGTTTCCAAGGGATATATGAGTAAATGTTATTGTTAAGACAGGAGTCCAGAACAAAGGTAGCATAGTGGAGTGGACCTGGGGGGAGGATTTGAATAACAATGAAAGAATTTTTTTTCTTTTACTTTTCAAAGAAAAAAGCTAATTGGGGAGAGGGGTGGGCAGGGAGAAAAGTGCAGCAATGAATAAATGGAAATCCAAAGTCTCTGTAAACTCTCATTAAAATTAATTTTAAAAGAAAAAGGAAAAAGTGAGACGTGTTAGAATTATAGGAAGGCAGGGTGCATGAGGCTTGTCTAACCTCACAGGGATTGTCTTTTGCGGCTGTTACTGTTGATGAGGATTCTTCCTTTGTGAAGTTAGTGAAGGTCTGACTGCCACGTCTCTGCCCGGCACACTGTTTTTCCAGGAATGGGAGTGGTATTCGTGGTAGACGGGAGTGCTGCGAGTGATGGCAGGTGCAGTGTGCTGGAGGGTGTGAAAGTGATGGTGGCGACGGTGGTGGTGGACGTACAGGTGATGCTATGGGGATGGTGGTTCTGGAGGTGGAGGTCATGGTGGTGGAGATGGAGACGATGGGTCTGCTGTTAGAGGCAGGAAGACAATGACAATGACAGTGATGATGATGATGGTGATGTAAGAAGTAGCAGCGGAGTGCTCAAGTGTGTGATGACACTGCTCATAGGAGTGGTCATAACCATGAGAGAAAGGACAAGAAAGAAGAGAACAGGACAAGGTCATTGCCCCACACACAACTGGAGATCCCAACAAACAAGGGGACGCGCGCTTACCCCAGCCCACCGCACAGAGCTTGAGCACGTAACGATGGATGTAGACGTTGTAGACACGCACGAAGAGAAGGTAGAGGTTGAAGCCTTCCATGGCCATCCAGGTGAAGCAGCTCAGCAGCGCGTAATGCAGGACGGCGGCCAGTGCGGTGCACGCGGACGCGGACACAGACGGTTTGGCCAGGAGGGTGCTCAACAGGAAGGTGGAGTTCAAGAGCAGGGCAGAGGCGTGCAGGTTCACGTGGATCTGGGCTATGGAGTCACTCTTCTTCCTGAGGGTGAGCATTGGCCTTACCGGCTGGGGGAAACCACTCAGTAGAACCGCCCCTGCCTTTATAGAAGGGAAACCGAGGTCAAGTTGGAGCAGGGTCCCAATAGCAGCCACACAGCAAGATAGATCTTCTTCTACCCTGTCCCCTGCCCTCAGGAGGAGCTCAGCCCTCTGTGAGGACCAAGTGGGGGGGAAAGTGGAGGTTCTGAGCAAAGTGCTGGCACTGCGCAGGAGGATACCTGGAACGGAAGTGCAGCAGGATGGTGAACAGTGAGGCCGTGACGGAGATGCTGCAGCCCACGAGGGAGATGTACCTCAGAGGGGGCAGCAGCTCTTCGGGGATCGGGTCCCGGGAGAGTTGCTGCAGGAAGGAAGGGAGAACTGGAGGCAAGGAGAAGCATGGACTCCCATCTCCAGGCTCAACTGCAGGGGCCTCTCCAGACTTCAGCTCTAACACCCCCTTCTTTGTTTTTAAATTGTTATCATTATTTTTTTTTTACATGTACCATCAAATTGGGTCTGACTGGCACAGGAGGAGATTGCCCTCCTTCTCCAGCAGAGCATCTGGTGGATTCAAACCGCATACCCCTGGGACTGCAGTGCAGCTTCTTGCCACTAGGCCACCAGAGCTCCCTGAGGCCCCCTTCTATATAATCCTGCTCATGGTCCTGGCTTGACTATGTCCAGAGCAGGCATAGCGGCTTTCCCCTGTCCCACTCCCAGCTCCACTTTCTCTGAGAGATTCTCTATTTCCCCTGCTCTTAGCATGTAGGTGGCTCCATCACTTCTCCCACTGGGAGTAGGAGGATGCATCAGGCCTGGTCCTCCTTCCTCCTGCCCATGATAAAGATTCCAGGGATGAACAACTGAACTGACTGGAGCAGATCTACCTCCATCAGTTGGGTCAATAAATGACATGTGTTGGGCCAATAGGCTCAATCCAGCTGCGAGAATTAATTGGAAAAGGGAAGCTATCCTTTCAGCACCCTGACCGTTCATAGGCAATGAGCCTGGAAGTGCCAGAAGCCGTATTGTTATCCCGTGGGGGATCCCGCCTGATGGTGAAGCCAGAACAGCAAATGCAGCTGAAAGACAAAACACAGCACTATTTTGGCAATACCGGATGAGCCCCTGGATCAAACCATGCCTGAAGCTTCCACCAGGCTTTTGGAGAACAAGAGTCCATAAGTTTTCCTTTTTTTCTATTAAGCCTGTTTGAGCGGGATTTTCTGTCTCTTGCCCCAGACTTTGCCTTGCTCCTCTATCCTGGATGTGGGGTCCTCTAGAGTTCTGACCATCTCCTCATTTAAGTTAAATGCACACATACCATGAGAACAGCAAAGTAGCTGAGGTGGTTACAATGGCAGATCACCTGGGTAGGTGAGGGCTGTTCTGTGTGGCAGCCCCTGGGGCTCCAGCTCCCCCGCTGCTTCTCACTGGTTCCCTCCTCCCAGAAGGCACAAATCAGTCTGTAGCCTTCCTGAAGGGAGACATTGAGTCCGATCAAAAGGGTGCAGGGGAGGAACTGTGGATTAGGGTCCAGGACTTGTAGGGATCAAAGGTGGCCAAGGTCTGGTCAATACACACATTCTATACCCCCGGGCCACAAAGACTACATTAAGGATGGCCACACGTTCCTGTTGGACATGTAGGACTCCATTCTGAGACCATTGTTTGGCAAGAAAGGGTCTGCTGGGAAAAGGGAGAGAAAGCCAGGTGCTCCAGCAGGCACCTTGTGATAGCAAAAGATAATCAAAGTAGGAGCATTGCAGAGAGACGAAAAGAGATGAGTTTTGATATCACATCGGTCCCTGGATCCAGCCGTGCCTGAAGCTGAACTACCCCTGGACACTTGCACCACTTGGGTCAATAAAGTCTCATCTGTGCAAACACTGCCTTCAGTTGGCTTTCTTTCAAGAATCCTGACTAATGCAATAAATGAAAGCTGATAGACAGGAATTATTTCTTGGGCAGAAATATTCACAACGTGATGGGTTTTTAAATCTTCAAAACCTTTAGGTGATTGTAAGCTTGCTTCTAGGACGGCACTCCTGGGTCAGGCTTGGCCAAACCAAAATTGAAGTGAGAGCCACAAAGGAGCACGAGCGGGGTGAGAGAGGGGACACGTCAGAGGTACCAGGCTTCGGTTGTGCCAGATGCTGATGTTGATTGGTTCTTTGAGGTTGTCCACGTGGCCGTGGTCCAGCCGTGCACCAAGGACATAGTTATTGAGCAGAGAGGAGCCGGAGACATCCTGGAAGGACGAGGAAAGAAGAGATGGCTGGGGGGGACACAGGGAGTTTCTGGAAGCAGTGTCAGTGCTGTTTAGCCCAGCACTTCACTCTGGGATGAACTTGAAAGATGCCACCCACGTGCACACCATGGCCAGCCTCTGAGCCTTCACATTCACTGTTCCCAGTACCTGGAACACCACTCTCTCGGAGTCCCCTCCTTTCCTTCCACCTCCCAGCTGATGACTGCATGCCAACCTCATGCCCTCCACCTCACCATGCAAACAGAGTGAAAAAGACAAAGGCACCTTCTCCAGAAACTCTCCTGGACTACTCACTGAAAACAGCCCCACCCACCCTGACACATCACCCGAGATCCGGGGTCATCTCTGTGGCTATAACCAGCCCTGAGCAAAAATTAAGTCTCTATACTTCTACACTAAATACTGAGACAGAGAGCTCGCTGAGGTCAGGGGCCTGATCATCTTCTCACCTCCCAGGGATACATAGCAGGTTTCTTAAGTCTTATTTACTTATTTTAAGTCATATCACATCTGTAAAACATGTTGCATTAAGCAAGTCTGCTGTCAAGGACCTCTTTAAAGTGCTAAAGGGTAAGACTGTCAGTTTAAAGACTAAGGTGTGTCTGACCGAAGCCATAGAATGTTCAGTTGCTCCACATGCATGCCAAAGTTGGACCCTGGATAAGGAAAATCAAAAAAGAACTCATGCCTTGGTGTTGGTGAAGCACACAGGGATACCAAAAGAACAAAGCAACCAGCCCTTCTAAAAGGCATCGTAGCCAGGATATTCTCTGGAGGCAAGGACTGTGAAACTTCACTGTGCATACTTTGGGCATAGTTGTTAAGAGGGGTCAGTCCTTGGAAAAAGACAACATTCTTGGAAAAGGGGAAAGGTCAGTGAAAGAGAGGAAGACACTCAAGGAGACGGACTGACCCAGTGACTGAGCATAGCAGAGATTGTGAGGGGGAATATTTTGATCTGTTTTTAAATTTGTTATGAGTGGGCTCAACAGACTTAACAATAGCATCTGTAGGCCAACGGGGAAAATGAGGTCTAGGAAAGAGCAATTGCTACCCCAGGCTGCAAAACAAGCTCTCACCAGCCCTGGGCTCCCTTGGGGCTGGTCCTCAGAAAGGTGTTCACTCTTGCCCTCCTTAGCCCCACCATGGACACCCACCTGGAAAAAGAAGGAAGTGTAGAAGTAGACGCAGATGAGACGCAGCTTCCTGGGGGTGACCTCGCAAGCCTTCTGGGTCAGCTCAGCTGGGAACTGCATGGAATGGGGGGCTCGGGCCTGGAGAGGGCCATGGACAGCCTGAGGCTGGGCTTCAGAGCTTCCCAACGTGGACCCACATTCTCAGATTCTCTCCCCAGGAAGCATTCCCAGCCTTGGCCTGGCCACTGGAACCATGTCTCTGCCTGGAACCTCTGTCCGCTAGGCCCTCTCCCCTAGCTTGAGTCTCCTCCTCCGCTGTCTAAGATCCCAGACCAGCCCTTCGTGTTGCTGGAGTCTTGAATTTGCATTTCTTTCCTTCACCTGACACCTTCCTTCTCTCCCAATCCCACGCTGGGTCTCCACATCCTAGTGTCCTGCACCAGCCAAGCATCCAGCAGGTCCTCAAAAGGACCTTGTCTACCTGGCCTGCCCACTGCTGCCTTCTCCAGACCCCTGCCCAAAACTGCCCTCGAGGGACCCCAAAGCCCTCTTCTCTGTGGCCAAAGGCAAAAACTTCAGCCCCGTTTAACAGACGAGCCATTGCTGCTAGCAGAGCAGAGCCTGGATCCCAGAGAGGAGGGCACAGCCTGGGTAAATGCAGAATCTAAAGCCCGGAGGATTGCTGGGGCTGGAAGCCGCAGAGCACCCCACCTCCTCAGCCTCCGCTGACCTGAGGGGCCTGCCTGAAGGTGGCACTGTTGAGCGAGAGGCCAGCAAAGTCACAGTTAAGCTTGAAGGCCAGAGACTGAATGATGGCCTGAGACGACTGCTCAGTCAGGTTGCAGCCCTCAAAGGTGACATTCAGCAGGGTCTCCTCCAGCTGTCGGATGTACCTGTGGGTGGGGAGGCTGGTGAGGGAAAGCAGGAACTGGGGCGAGGGGTGGGGGCGAGTGAGGGCTCCAGACGGCTTCCCCGGCACACTGCATATGCCCTGTCATTCCCAACCTTTTCACACAGTTCCCTCCAGCAAGCAGACCCAGACCTCCCTGCTGCACCCAGCTCCTCCTCCCACAAAGCCTGCCGGGTTCATTTGTCATCACCTCCTCCAGAAAGCCTTCCCTGACCGCTCCCCACCCCATCAGCACTGAATGGAGTATTTTCTCCAGTGAAGTTCTTGGTCCGTGTTAGTATAAGAGATGCTCAGCCTTTGACACACAGACCTGCGAGAACCCCAGAAAGCATCTCAGAGCCCCTTCCCATAAAAGGACACAAAGACACCTCCCCCAGGAGACAAACTCTCTGAGGGCAAGGGCATAGCTGCCCTGCACAGACAGCACTCAGCTCCAGGCCCACAGTGGGCGTTCCACAAGTGCATGCTGAATAGCAGTTAAACAAGCCGAAGATTGTCTGCGCTGTCTAAAGGTGCAGGGAGGCGGCAGGGATGCCTCACGGACTCACCCAGCGGGAGGAAGCTTTTCAATCCTAGGTTTGGCCCTGGTCCTCCTCTGCATTTCCTCCATAAGCTCTCGGAGCTTCTGTGAAGTGCCTGTCGGGACTCAGAGTCACTCTTCTACCTCAACCTCCACCCTGAGCCACCCCCGGCCCCACCGGACTCATTACTCCCAGATGCTCCACGTCACTTCCCCTCAGTGCGTCAACAGAGCCCTTCTCTCCATCCACGTGGCTTTGGGCCTTCCATTTTTCACAGCTCAGCCACGGGCTAGACTAGGACTGCCTCCCCCCTCCGCATTCAGAGGAGCCCCTTACCCACTGTCCCGTTCTGAGCAGTCACGAGGCAGAAGCAGAGGAGAAGAATCCCACCGTGATCCATCTCTGTGCGCGGGAATCCTCCAGATTTGGCTTCCGACCCTGCCCAAGAGAAAGTCCACGTCGCCTTCATTCCGGTAAAGAGCCCCCTCCATACCGAGTTCACGTCCAAGATCGTAGCATAGATTTTAGAAAAGGATCATAATGACGATTGCAAAACTTGAAGAATGTCATCAATCGCATGAATTGTATGGGTAGAATACAGGTTTCAGTTTTGGCAGGTCTTACTGTACTTGATCAAGGTCCTGTATCTAGACTATATAAAGAGCACATATTATTCAATCATACTATTCAATAAGACAAACTCTCTAGTACAAATGGGGCCTTATTTGGACAGCCACTGTGCTCAAGAAGATACTGAGGGCAAACTCTGGTGGCCTAGTGGCAAGAAGCTTCACTGCAATCCCAGAGGTGTGCGGTTCGAATCCACCAGATGCTCTGCTGGAGACGGAGGGACAATCTCCTCCTGTACCTGTCAGATCCAATTTGATGGTATACACACACACACACACACACTAATTTAAAAAAAATTTTTTTAAAGAACATACTCAGATCATAAAGAAATAAATACAGTAAAAGATTCTCAATATCATTAGTGGCTGTTGTTGTTGTTGTTGTTGTTGTAGTGTATCATCAATTTGAAACTGACTCATAGCTGATGCTCCAGGAGGTTTTCAGAGGCTGTTAATCGCATGGGAGGAGATAGCCCAGCCTCCCCTGGAGCAGCTGGTGGATTCGAACTGCGCGCCTTCAAGATTGCAGCGCAGCTTCTTGCCACTAGGCCACCAGAGCTCCATATTAGTCATTAGGAAGGTCAAGGGGGGAAAAAATCACAGTGCGATAAGTGTGACAGCACACCTACCACTGTTCAAATTCGAATGACTGACACCACCAAGTGCTGCTAAAGATAGGGAACAACTGAGGGGCTCACACAGGGCTGCGGGGGATGGAAAATGACAGTTTCTCCTGAAGTTAAGCATACACTTAAACATACATATGAACATTATACCAGCAATTTAACTTCAAGGTATTCACCCAAGGAGAATGCAAACGTGTGTGTACACAAAGACCTGTATACTGATATTCACAGCAGCCTTATTTATAATAGCCAAAACTACATAAATAGCCATAAACTGGTGGGGGGAGGAAACACAATGAAATAGTAAATGCTTCTAAGAAATAAAAATATCTAAATTGCTGATGTGAGCAAAAATAGAGCTAAAATTCGGAATCGTTATATTAAAGTGAGTGAATGCATTTCACCCCAGTCAAAATAGCAAAATTTAACAGAACAGCAAGCAACAAATGCTGG